AATTTCAAGCAAACGCTCCTCTCAGACTATGCCAGCCCAGAGTCTGCAAAATGGCAGCCTGTCATCTCTTATCATTGCACAATCAAGGAAGTATAGACTACTGCTTGACTGATATTGAACTCTATCCAGCATCGGTCGCGCAGCAGTGGCAGCAGCAAGCGACGTTGTGCCCACTGGTGAACGTGAATTCAAGTTGAATTGCTACTCGGTTCTGGCCCCCATAGCGCCATTCAATCATGCTACGCCATGCCCAAACCATGCTGTATTATTAGTCCCGTTGAAATGTTCTTTATCCGATCCTGATACGGTTTAGCTCTGTTTGTATGATGTCGAAGGAATGGCTCACAGCTTTCACTTCAAAACCTCAACTTGGCCCTACGTGGCTATCAATGTGCCGCGTATAAAACGCGTACAGGTCTTGGAATCTTGGCTGCTACATCTATTTCGTTCCATTTCGTGGTTGGGCAAACACAGCGTCGCGTATTTTTCATATCTAGGACGACTTTCACCTATGGCTGGTTCTCTTTCCAAACTTCTGAAGAACTTTCTGAGGAGAATTCGCTCGAGGCGTGTGCAGAAGCTATGTATTAGAGGAATGCTGGTTTTTATTGCTATGATGGTCCTCATACTGGATACTCGCACTGTGAGGGTTTTAGGACCTGCCAACATATTCGCACTGTGCGTCTCGATATCCTTTCCTCTGGCACTAGTGCTGATTCTGATATGACGCATTTTTGAAAGTGCTCTTGCAGTTGTCATCCCTCCCTTTTATCCTGTTTCGCTTCATATTCTTTTTTCTCTGGCTTTTATGATTGGTATGATTCCAATCAACTTTACAACGACAAATCAATGACGCTGATGCTCAATGACAGTGCTTTTATCCTGCTGGGCATGGGCAAATTTGATTACAGCATCAGCCAACGCAGCGAGAAGTTCTACACTACTGGCTCAGGAAGTGATATCGGCAGAATCAAGGTATATTCTCTGTTTCTCATTTTTGTTGCTCATCCTCACACACCCCACTATAGCTTTATCCCTTCTCTCCCTGCTGATATTCAGAATGTGCTACTGATTTTCAGTGGGCATTACCTCGATCCTCGGTCAGTGAAAGAAAAAGGGCAGCACAATGTGTATCTCACTCACTCAATCTCTATCGTCGTTTAGTGCATCGGCTGTTACAGGCACTCTCCTCTTCGTTTCCACCTGGATGTATGGTTTGGCACTCGCGTATTATCCAGCGTTGGCCATCGTCATTTACTTCACATTGACACTCATTTCCGGGGCGACAAGTGTCAATCCACGTATGTGGATTTTTATTTATTCGTACGCTGCCTTCGCTGATGCACTCCCGCGACGACTAGTGATCCCATACCCTATTTACACATCTGCTCTGACATTTTTGATATCCTCCGCATGTTATCTTGCCCTCTGCATTGTTGCATACGTTTTTGTATTTCCCTCCAGCTTCAACGCCTCATGGATGTGCGTCTTCTCTTCTCTTCTTCTCCTTGGAAAGATCTAAAGCATCGCCAATATTTCTTATTACAGGGCTGGAGTTAGACAGGACGTTCTTGGCGTACGTTGCGTGTTTTCTCGCCTTCCATGGTCTTTCATGGCTGGATATTTCTTCGAACGCATACTAACCACTCCATGATGATTTTAGCCCATTATTCGGTTCTTAGATTCAAGCACGGATGCTCAATTCGAATCCGAGCAGCCCCCGATCGATCACCTTCGCCCACATACCAACGACATATCAATTGGAGATCTCAAGTCCAGCATGTCCAATGTGGAACTCTTCAAGTTCGCATTCAAGACCGAATTTTCAGTGCATCGTCTCTCACCTGAAGAGCATCTCGAGATGACGGGTTTATTTGGGACTCTGATAGGAAGGATAGGGTGTGTGTATATTTCATTTATCTGAGTGGTTCGACAAGACAAATGTTCACTGCACCCATAATATTAATCTTAGGCAATTAGAAGTCGCGCAAAATGGCGTGGATGCAGTATGTGGAGTGCCAAGGAATACTAAAGTAGATAGACACGCGGTGGAGAAAGAGGTATAGTGGCCTTTTATCCCGAAAAGTTTCGTCCATGTCGTCACACTATCACAGCGCCTGGATAACGCACCGTCAGCCCGCGCAATACAGACCGTAAACACCGCCTCTGACACCCTACGCATTGCCCTCCAAATTGCACTATTGGATATCGACGAATGGATGAGGGAATGTGATATGGACTCCTGGGGCGATGCGTTAAAGGGGCTGACCATGAGCATCAAGTATACGGCAGCAATGAAAAAGTACAGAGATGCCGCTAGGAAGAAGGCGGACTATAGGAGGGTCAGGCTGGAAATTTCCCGCTCAAATTTGAGAGCTGCGATGGCGAAGTTTAGGAAGAGTGATTTAAAGACTATTTTGACGACCATTAGGGACCAGAACCAGGGCGAGAAGGGAGACGCGAAGGAGCAGGCTGGAATCCAAGAAAGGTATGTATGGCTCGCATACCCACTGCAATTCTGAAGCGTTCTAACCACATTGCTTTTTAGGGATAGCCTAGTCTTATTGGCATATCTCAACGCTCTCAATCAGCTTGGCAAAACCATCCTCGACTTCCACAGGTTTCTAATCCGAGTTGAAACCAGGGAGCCATATCCTCAGATTCGACTTCCATCTGCTCTTCTGAACCTCTTCCGCGCTACTCCAGTCGCAAGTGATGCCAGTGTAAACAATCAAGACATAGAATCACAACCTGGCTCTCCCTCATCAACAAAAGAAAAGGGCAAGTACAGAGAAGAACCCAGGTCGGGAGGCGTTGAATCACAGATCGCTTCTAGCTCTGACCACTCTGAAGGGGTGCATTACCATTCAGCGTCGCATGTTGTCTTTTCCTCGACAATAACCTCAGAAGAGCGCGCAAGTCCGGCACCCTCCCAAACGCCGTCGAAGTCCAACTCAGCGTCTGGGTTACCACCATCTCCACAACGGAAAAAGCCCAAAACACGCCAGAAAAGCACATTCCGAGTTTGGTTGACTTCAAATGAAATGGTATTCGCCTTGAGGATTGCGACCGTCACTGTTGGGCTATGGGTACCTGTGGTATGCAGAAACACCACTTCACTGTTCGAGCGAAACTATGGAATATTTGCGATGATTTTAGGACAGGTTTGTACTTTGATGTTTTAGTTCATCTCAGTACTAATTGGTTTTTCTTTTTCGTTGGCAGTCGTATGTCATGTCTTACGCTGGTGAACAGGTCTTTTTCTTCCTCCTACGATTTGCCGGGACTTTCCTTGGAATATTATGTACAGTATTGTCGCCCTTTATCTAAGGACTTCGTTGATGATTTCATCACTAGTAACTGCTGCTTGCTGGTTCATCGGTGCTGTCCACGGAGGCAATGGGCGCGGAAATGGCTATGTTTTGGTGGTCATCACTGTATGTCTTCTTTCTCCAAATTCTTCTTCCACTAAATCTGATTTCTGCTCGTAGACTATATTCATACTACCCTGTCTCTTTTCTGCAGCCTCCGGCAGTCATAGATATACGCACGTGTTCTTCGTATCTGGTGCTGCGACTATGGCTACCAGTGCGTGGACTATTTGTGTTAAACTGATCAATCATCCTTTGACAAGGATATACATCTATAGTGATCGCTCTGCTTTGGGAGGACGTACACAACATGCCACCTGGGGCGTCTCCTGCCCGAATTGTGTTTAATGACCTTTGGAAGAGACTGTGGGTTACATATTCATGGCTGTTGATTAAACTCGTGCTAAACTTGCCTCGCCAGTGTGATGGATCTCATTGGTGCTGCGGGAGCTGTAAGTTGTCCCCACTTCACCATCCAGTCAGCTTGCTGATTTTTATCGTTGTAGTTCGTGGTGATGATGACCCCAAAACCTACTACAATGCGCAGTGGATTTCATAACAAGCTTTCAAGCATTCTGATGCGGTTGAGCGAGGTTCTCAGTGCCGAAGCCACCGAAGATCTGACATCTCGATCCGAAGTTGTGCAAGGGTTATCAGTAAGTTTTTGTACCTCTTTCACGCCCAATGTTACTGAAGAACCTACCATGCAGAACGAAGTCGCTCAATTTGAGCACTACCTCCTCTGCATGCGATTCGACCCACGCGTGAGGACTGTACCAATGGATGTGCATAAGGAGTTACACCAGACAACGTAAAGATAGGATGTCTTTACTTGACTCGGCCGATGTGCTGACATGTTCTACGCAGGCAAAGGCTCCTCATCGCTACCAGCCAATATCTTCACAGCATCAAGGCTCTAGATGACGAACTAGCCTCGACAGCACATCAAACAGTACAACTTTTCTAAGCTTATTATCTCTTGCTGGCTTGCTAATTTATTCCCCAGTTAGCGATGGTTCCTAATATTCTTTCTGCCTGTTATGAAGAGCTCCTAAACGGAGACGACAGTACGATGATGAAGGGCCTTGCTCCCCTTGATTTTTCCGCTGTTAATAGCTCTGGTTTCATGGAGATTCCACCTAATTTATCTGTAAGTGCCCACGAACCTGACGGCGGAGAACGAAAACTTATCAATTATTATGTCCTCTAAGAACATCCAATCTATACTTTGGGCGTCAGGTATGTATACCGTTGTACCTTGGTTCATTGCCCTGATGGCTGGCGTGTTTATTTATCAGTGGCCTTAACTATACACGACATCGTGACGGTGAGTTCTGGAACTTTTATTGTTATCCGGGGAGGTGTGCTCAAGGTCATTCAAGGCATCTATCGAATTGACGACCTTAATTTCACAAACGGGATCCGGAAAATGATCATGAAATTGTGCTGGGAAAACAATATTACCATGGACGGTCGCAGTCCTGAATCTGATAATAATAATGAATACACTTGTATCTCGAATTTGTCGATAGCTTACCGTTTGGAATCCATAACTAATACACACGACTTTTTGTCCTTTATGTTTGCTTCTTTTTTTTTCTCCTGAATACGCAAAACGAGCAAAAAATACGTCACCTGAGCGATTCGAACACTCGCGGGCAAAGCCCAACCGCTGGCTTAATAGCAGGCGATCCCGTTAACCACTCCGGCAAAGTGACGATGGAATTCAGGGGCTCACACGCTTCCACGACGCGCCGTGCCGTCACATCCGGTAACGCGCCCAATGAAGAGGGGCGTGACAACAGCCTTTGATTTCAAACTTGACTGTCAACAACAATCATCTCAATGCATCCTGCTTTTTTGCGGTCTAAATTGCAAGAATTAATCGTCAGAGCTGCGGCTGACAGCCACGTAAAATTTTATATTTCAGATACCCTGCAAACCAGGATGAAGCCTTTCCCATATTCACCTTCACCTCAGCCTATCCGTTGAACTTTGAGCTATGTCGCGGCAGGAAATAGTCTTATCATTGCGTGAAAGGCAGAATCAGAAGAAGTTCATACGCGCGCTTGTGGTTATGACAGCTGCGCTTACGCTCATATTAAACAATGTGACGTCAGAGAAAATTGGGTCCGCTGGGTTGCTTGTTGGGTATGTTCTACCAGATTCTACCCGACGAAACTAAACGGTGCTTTGTCTGATGGTCTCTGGAATAATTTTTCTACAGGGCGCTAAGTTGTGTTCTTCCACCATTTCTACCCTTTTCAGCACATTTTATCATGATGCTGCTTTTGCTCTTCTGTGAGCAATCTTGAGACACCTTTTCAAGAGAAATCTAATTCCCCTCCCTCGATTAGGGGTCGCTGCTTCTTGGGGGTGGATTTGTGCGTCGCAGCTTGCTGCCTTTTCAGTACGCGACAAAGCCCTTCTTGCACAGAGGCTGCAAGAAGCCCAGGACATGTAAAAAACATTTCTCGGTAGTCTGTGGATATGTTAAGCATGTTTATTACCAACAGATACGACCCAGGCTTGTCACTAGCTGCCCAAGCTCAGCAGCTCATTTACTCGGGTCATTATTTGGATCCTCGGTTTGTCTCTCGCATCGTGCAGATTTTTCCAACAAGGATCTGATGCTCCTGCAGGTCATCTATCGCTTTCGGTGTCTTTCTCTTCATAGGAACCTTCATTGCCGCTCTGATTGTCAAACTCCGACCTGCTATGACTTTCCACCTGCTCTTTGGCCTGATTCTGATCTCAAGCTTTATAACGATCAGTCCTGGTAAACTACATTCACGCCTCCAGCGGTATTCAAATTAATAAGGGTTCCAGTCCTTCCAGCTCCCACATATCAAAGTCCCGAGACGGTTGTTTACGCCATCGGGACCTACGCAGTCATTTCGCTTGTTTCCCTCGCTTTCATATTTCCGCAAAGTTTGAATCAATCTTGGCTGTAGGATCTTCATAAATCCTTTCTGTTTGTTTTCAATTAATCTCATCTAAACCCCCAGATTTTCGGTTCAACGTGACATCCTACAGGTACGTCATATTGATAGACTCTCAAATCCTGGCGTTGAACTCCAACTCCGTTTTATAAGCCTATGATCAAATTCCTTGATACCCCACCTGATATATCTCATCTGTCAACTGCGCCTTCGATCTCTCATCTTCTCCTCGTATTCCATGGGTATGAACGCACCAAGAGCCTTTTCAGCACGGAATTTACCGTGAACCGTCTATCCACTCCACTGTTTCTTGAGGTCTACGCTCGGATCAAGCAACTGGTCTACAGAATCTCGTGAGTGGTCGCCGTTGAATTGAACTCCGACCATTCTCAACCTACTCTTAAGAGCGCTAGAGATGTCTCAGAGCCGCATGGCCAGTATTTTGCGCCATGAAACACGGGGCACGATCATGGTTTGTGCAGATAGACCCCCCGATGCGATGAAGCTTAACTTGTTTCAGACGGACGGACACCACCCAAATTTCTACGAAGAGATACTCAGTCGCTCTGACGCTCTCCGCTCCGCCTGTCGTATCTCCCTAATGGATGTTGAAGAGTGGATTCGGGAATGGGCTATGGACTCTTGGATGGATGTTGTACGACCAGTTGACCGGGGTAAAATTGATTACCGGAGGGTCAGATTGGAAATCTCCAGGTCCAATCTTCGTAAAACAAGGCTTGCGTTCTGCAAGGAGCAGTTGGCTGACCTCATGTTATATTTTAAGCAATCTGCCCAGTCTCCCGAGGAGCCTACCTCCTTGCGAAATGACAGGTAAAGTCAAATAAACTTCCGCCTGTTAAACGTATGCTAATCATTCATAGAAACTGCGCGACGGTTCTTTCGTTCTTAGCAAACTTAGATTTCATGGAAAACGAAATTTTTGCTCTGCTGTCATTCCTGGTCGAGATCGAACATAGGGAGCCAAAACCCATTCCCAGACTACCAGCTTGCTTCAGCAGGTCTCCAAAAGTCAAGGGGGAGTTTGAGCCAGCCCTTCGTTACCTAAACCACGCGGAACCCCAGGTACTACATAATGCACCAACGGGCATCAATTTCTCAAAGGAACTGCCGCTGCCGCCTGTCCTGGACGATGTATCGTCGAGTGGGTTCAGTAAACTGAGTCTTTTGAAAAACGCAAGAGGAGAGCCCAATCAAGTGATGAAAAGAATCCGAGATGCCTTGCGCTCACCCATTTTTTTCTATGCGGTGAAATTGAGCATCGTGGCGCTTATTCTATGGGTTCCCGTGGTTTTTCAACCTGTGACCAACATATATCTGACAACGTCCGGGTTTATGGCCCTCATCCTGGGAACAGTAGGTAAACGCCGTTATGTGCTACCTTTGGTTACTGATCACTTTTCTTAGTCGTACGTGGACGTCTATGCCGGGGATCAGGTGGGATGTCACGCCAGTCGTCGCTCGCGCGAGAACTTATATCTTCACCTACCCAATCAAGATATACTTTTTCCTAATCAGATTCTTTGGCACTGTGATAGGGCTCGGTCGTATGTCTTTCACTTCCTTTATGTTGTGCTATTTCTTGACCCTTATATCTAAGTTGCGGCTGCCTCGTGGTTTATCGGGGCTCGCAAAGCAGGGCAACCCTACACTTTCATTGTCTCGACGGTGAGTCCGTTCTAGACTCTCCGTGCAGGGCATGTCTTTGATTGGTAGACAGACCATTCTCAGTGCACCGGCCCTGTTCATATCCGTGGCTTCCACAAATCCCACTTGGTTGTTATTTTCCGCCTTGATCTCGAGCACAATTGTTGGCAGTATGTGGTCCACGCTTATCTGTTGCGTTATTCATTTAAACTTTCCTGTTGGCAGGCATCGATGTGATATGGAACGATGGGATAGCGGAAGGTGGCGTGTCCACTTCACTTGTTTGGAAAAACATTTGGCAAAGAGGGTGAGTGATTGTGGCGGCTTTTGGCATTTTCTGACCCAACTGCAGACTTCTTGACTTGATCGGATTTGTAGTTTCAGTAGGCACATTAAGCTATTTTCTGCCGCTTTTTCTCATCTACTTTCAACAGGCCGTGGTTATGATGTTGCCTATGCCATATACATCGCGACGAGGGTTTCATGAGAAGTTCTCGCAATCACTCTTGGATGTTCGCATCGCACTCCAAAACGAACACGCCAACCTTTTGCTGTCGTCTCCTCCAGGAGTAGGAACTTCGAAGCTACATGAATTTCACGCTATTGCCGTAATTATTCAACGTGTTTTACTCCCTGGCGGCATGCCTCACAAAATTATTAGGGCCGCCACATCGAGTTGGAACAATTTCTCACATCTATGAAATTTGATCCTCGAATAAGGTATTATAATTTCTAGTCTGGCAAAAGATACTTGAGAATTAATCGCTATCTAGGACGTTACCATCCAAAATCTACGGGAAGGTGTATAATCTCCAGTGAGTCGCACTATGCTTATCTAACCACCACCAGGCCGTAATCATTAGTCTCTAGAAGGGTACTTATTGCTGCTGCTTCCCGCTATGTAGAGGCTTTGGATCGCTTTGATGCTGATCTACGGAGCGAGGTGATGCGAAATGTAAGTCTCCGTAGAATGTTGATGAATATTCTGGGTCATCTCTGACTTTTGTGGCAACAGACACCATACATGGATCAATATATGGTTGAACGCGTGCACTCGCAAATTGACAGACTGGCTGCTGTGGTCTCGGGAGGATCGATAACTGACGGGAGTCATTCCCTCGACCATTTCCAGGAAGATATCCGTCAAAGATTTACACAGATGTCTAATCACACTCTATTCTCAGGCGGTCGGACGCTCTTTGGATTACCTGAGGAACTTTCCGTGAGTGCATCAATTCGGACCGAAGGACAGACTAAAAGGAAGTACATCTACCTTTGAAAACTATCCAGGATGATCAGCTGCTGATTTTTGCAACGGGTAAGATTGCATATTTCTCCTTTCCACTGTTAAGGTTTGTTCTCTGAAGTATTCGTGCAATATTCAGTTGTTGTCAACTTCAACTCGATGGTGGATGTAAGTGCCCACACTTTCTATAACCTTATCAATTGACAACTTTATTTGGTTCATGTAGACCCTAGCGGAGCTAAGCGACCTTATTCCCCTCCTCGATTCTCACAGTAACCATCATCGGAGACCGGCAGGATCCTTCACGGAAGGAGTGTGATGCGACAGGGAAACCGCGCATGTGGTATTGGGTGCTGCGCTTTAAGTTTTAGGCTTTTTCTACTCTCTTCTGCGGCACTACATATGCCACCCTTGCTCAACTACCGAGATGTTACCCCTTTGCTTTCGGACTTGCTTTTACAGTGGGAAGTGGAGTTAGATGTCAGTGGTTCACGAAGTTGCCTTCTTCGCGTCAATAATTGGTTGTATGTGGATTGGACTCTATAGGACTACGCATGATGCCTAAGTTTCCTAACTGGCGGAATATTGAATGCTCGTTTGGAGTGAGCACAGTCCGAGAACCTAGTCTTGCTGGACATTGGACCTCAATACTATATGTTCTGACCTCGCGCTGTCAATCAGCTGGTCTCGTTGCTTCGAAATGCCTCCATTAAGAAAACGATACTTTAAGATCATTAAAACGAGGGCGGCGACTTAGCTTTTTGTGGTTCATGAAGAACGATCTGGAGAAGTCGAATGGACTTCACTTCCGAAAATATTACAACGGAACAACTGGTGCAATCGATGACATGCTTCCACAGGTTAC